AAGCAGAAAAATAGATATTTTTTATCTTGATCTTTGTAGCAACTTTTTTCAATTTGTGAAAGGTCTTTTAAGGTATCAATTATTTACATAAAATATGAAATCATTTATAAAATAAGATATTATTTTGAATTTTGTATTCATATTTATAATTTATTTTTTTTCTATACATAAAATCTAATAATTGCAGTACTGATTCAATCAGATTCTTTTTAAATGATACGATACAATCAAAATACAACCACTATTTACAATGTATGTGTAATTATGGCTTTAACATCATCCATGTAACATCAGTATATCAGAATTTGATAATCTTTTTTATTTTGTGAGCTAGAGTATTAATTTAACTAGTGTTTTAGTGAATTCTTTTTTATTTAACTATATAAAAAATACAATGTTAGGCCTGTTGTTTTTAAAAATAAATATTTTTTAAAAATAGTACAAATTGCTTAATTTAAAATTATTAATAAAAATTTAAACAGGATTCAACAGATAAGTTATAAAATTTTAAGACATCAGGAAAGGTTTGCAGCTTTGCCATAAATAGCATAGTAGAAAGTTTTAGTTTGGGTACCTATGATAATAAAATTAAAAATAATAATAATAAAAAAGATGTCTAAACATTATCTATCCACATGAAAATAATAATAGTATACTTCATTTTTTTTTTTTTTAGACTAAATACATTTGATTGATATAATGTGATAGATTAGCAATATACTAATTGTTTATGCTAGTTAATAGATTTCAATGATTTAATCTCTTGTGGTTATTATTAAAAATATAGCTTGTTATTTATTTGACATTAGTAGTATAAAAATTTTGCATGGTTTTAGCTTATAATAGCTAGAGACCTACAGTAATGCATTTAATATGATGGCAGTTAATGATGATGATATTATTACTGATTTTGCTGTTAAGCAGAGTTAGTAATGATTAATAAATTTCCAATTAATTTAATTAAATATTTGAATTCAAAATTTGTTTATTTTTTAAATGATTCTTCATTGTTGTTCTAGTTTCTTTCTCATCTTATAAAATACAATTTATTTTCATTTAATATCAGTAGAACAAATATAAACATCCAAACCCAATAGTTATATATTAAAGCCATAACATTTATCAGTAGAACATTATTAATAATTGATATTATAAAATAATTATATTGTTAGAAATATTAATTTTTATATCTTGAAAGAATATAAATTGGTCTAATATAATAAATAAAATTGAACACATGGCATAGTTATATCTTAATGTCACATCTCATTAAAATGCACAATACATAAACATATTTCATTATCATTAATTATCTAAAAGTTTATTGCTTCTCAGAAAGAGAAGCAATAAACTTTTAGATAATTTAAATGTCTTTATATTTTATGGATACAGTGCTTATTGGAATTTAATTCCTCTTAATGGAGGCATAATTTTGATACTTGTGTTAACTGGAATGAAACATCTATATGGTATAGATAGATTAAATTAAATACTAAAAACTTACAAATATTGTAAAATACAAGTATTTCACAATAGAGCAAAGTGCAAAAGACTTTGTCACTTTTGAATTCTAAAATTTCAATAAACTGTAAATAAAGTTCATAATGATGGAACAGTTCCATAAGTGATAAAGTAAAAGAGTTGCAACAGACTTTCTTGTAGACTACTACTGGAGTGAAGTTTTATTTACCTTGTAGTTGACCTCTGTTGGAACTGCCACAAGAATTTACATAATGATAAAAATTTACAATTATTGTAAAAAATTTGTAAAAGGGCAAACTACAAACTTTGTCTCCATCAGTAGCCTGTAACAAAAGGTCTGTTGTGAGTTGTTACTTCATCAGTTTTGGAACTATTTCATTATTATTAAGGCTAGGATATTTAAGCACTAAAAGTTATATAAATATGCATGCAAAATAGACACTTAAAAGTTCAAAATATGCAAATTAGTAGGCATTTTTACCAAAAATAAGCTTATAAAAAGTTTCGATATTAATCAAATCAGGAGCTGTGGAGAAATTAATCTTAGTTTCATAGAGGTTACCAGCAGAAATCTGAACTGAAGAGTAAAGGAAATTATTTGGAATACATCTAAAGTTATTTTGAACAAACTGAGCAGCAAGACATTGCAACTTTTGTATCCCCAATTGCAAATGCATTTTTTACTTACTAAAACATGTAAGCAAATAAAGTATAACTGGAAACTGCCATTCTTTAAAGATACATTGACTTGGACATTGAATCCAAATTTAAGAGGTAGCTGTATCATGTATATAGGCAAGTCATCTTAAAAATATTTATTGCTAAATATATTTACAATATGAAATACATAAAACTTTGTTGGAAAATAGATACAAAACAGATACTGCCTATTTTTATTATTTTAAAAATGTTTGGCTAGAAAAAAATCAATTGACTATCACAACAGCAAATTTAAGAGAAAATAAGTGATTTTAAGAAAATATGGTAAAATAGGCACTAATGAACAGAATAGGTATTTTTAGGTACTGTTACTTTTTGATATATCAGTCAGCATCCTCTGATATACGTTTTAATACAAAAGACCCCAAAATTGAGTCAAAGGAACAAAATAGGCATTTAGAGCAATATCCTACCTTCAGTTATTATAAATTTGTTTTTATAGTATATTGAACTTTTACAACAAAATTCATATTAAATTTTTAATAAGAATTTTCCACTAGACTCTTAAAATTAGTATCAAAATATAGAATTTTATTTTAACATTGATTGGATAATTAATTTTTGCATATATATAAAACAAATATAACAGACTTCAAAATTTCTTTTAATCAACTTTAGAATCAATTACTTTATTAGATGTTAATTAAGAAGGTATGAATAAAATTAATCTGAAATCACTTGGATTGTCATAATTTTCTGAATTTTAAAATTAAAATCAATCACACTACTCAATAGCCTAAACTCCAGCAAAAAATCCTTTACTTACACACACATTTTCCATCTCTATTTCATTGGGCATCATCAGGCTGTAGAATTGAAAAATGGAGCTGCAATGTTTGAAAATTTGAATGTAACGTGTCATTGCAATGGCTCCATTTTATAATTCTACAGCCTGATGATGTCCAATGGAATGTGGATGAAAATGTTTGTGTATTTTTCTGGAGTTTAGACTATTGAGTAGGGTGATTGAATACAATATATTTAACATTTAACTGTTGTCTTTTAAAATTAAAATTAAATTTTTAAAATTTAAAAATGAAGTTTTAAATTTATGAAGGAAAAATTTTTTGATAAAATTATAATCATAATGACTTTCTCATAATTAATCTATTCAAAATCATTGAAATTATTTAATAATTTCAAAGGTTTTTACTTATCATTATTAGTGATAATTTAGATGAACAAAGGTTCTGCTCAAGGCTCCATAGTTTGGCAGTGGTAATAGTCTAGTTCTGCTCATTTTGAATACTGCTTGATAAAAAAAGTTATTATTATTAAGCATATGCTTTATTAATGTAGAATGCACTGAACATTTGTTAATTATAGTTTGACATTATCCATATTAATCAAAAATAATAATATCTGAAAAGAAACATTTTCAGATAATTATTAAGGTTCACTACTTGAACCTCCAATAATATTTTGTAGTTCACAAACTCCTAGAAGACTTCCACTATTTACTGAAAATTGATTTTGACTAATGCTGATTTGCATTTCCATTAAAAAGTCTGATAAGAACAGATATATGCACACTAATGATTTTTTGAAAATTACACAATGTGTTCACTCTTATTTTTTTTTTCAATTTCACTATATTAGAAAGATGTAAGGAACAATCATGACCTTCCAGGAATGTATCCTAGAAGGTCATGATTTTTCCTTACATCCTTCTAATATAGTGAAATATCCACTACTATGTCCCAGTCAAGAGTTACAAACATCTGTTTCAAGAGCTGACCAGACGTGTTCAGGTAGGCCCTTGGTTTTATCTGAACACTTCTATGGCTAAGCAATGCATTGCCATAAAAATAGCAAATAAAAGTAGAATTTTTTAATATCGGGATTCACTTTTAACTTTTATATTGTTTAGAGTTAAAAGTATTATTTTATGATAGAATTTTAAAATTGTATTTTTATATAAAATATTAATTTTACTATATGTTAATTACAAATAAAAATTAGCACATTAAACGGACAATGACTTCGTGGTTGTGTTATTGACAACTATCAGCACTACATCTTCTAAACCTAAATTCTCTCTCTGTACAATTGTTTCATCCTGTTACCTTCAGTCAGTTTATGCTTCATTAACAAATACTAATGAATGGATGATGAGAGGAAATAGAAAATTAATAGATTGAAATAAGATGAGATATTAGTAACAAGAAAATTAAAAATAGAACTATAAATAATTGGATTTAGATCGTATGATTCAGACAAGTCTCAAAGTAGTAAAATTCATATTTTTACTTTATTTTTAATTATAAAATTAGAATTGGAATTACACAGAATTAATTTAACAATAGCAATAATAAATTATCTTTTAAATTTGAATTCTTTATTTATGTAAAATATTTCATCTCATTGTAGAACTATAAAATATATTTAATGAATAAAATACTTCAGTTATGAATAATTGCTGTTTTTTCCTGCAACAGGATAAGGAACTTTTTTAAGGTAAAAATTCCTTATCCAACCACAGGTACTGCCTAAATCTGATAAAGGAATTCATTTATCAATATTTTACTATATTAGAATTAATCTCATAAAATAATTCATGTATTATAATCTGTTTTCTGTTAAGTATTAATATTGTTTTATGATATCAATGAATTTGTTTTAAATTTATAGTAAACTTTTGGATTGATATTTCTTAAATTTAAAAATTGTTATTTTTAAGATAATTTTTTACTATTTTCAGTTTATATTTAATTTTATATAATTTTAATGCTATTGAAATATATTATGATATCTTATATTTTTCTTGAGAGTTTATGTATCTGTTTATATTTTTTTAGGGGACATAACACAAAAAGGTTATGAAAAGAAGAGAGCAAGGTTACTTGCTCCTTATCTCCCATCATATGGTGCAGGTCTGTAATAGAATTAAGAGAATAAAATACAGATATAAAATATATTTATTTCGTAAAACATTTTTCATATATTATGATGAAAGTTATAATTTTGCTTTGTATATTGGTTTAAATATGGATGAAAGCAATTATTCAGCTCTATTTAATCTTGTAGATTATAGATATTTTAACTTATGGTTTAACTCTAATCCACATGATAAATTTAAAATTGATATTATCTTATAATATAAATTTAATTTAAAAATAATTTATTATTAATAATTATGTAACATTTCCTGGTTTATTTTTATTGCAATTATATTGAAATGATTTTTTCAATAATTTATATTATTGCAATGAATTACTTAACACTGCTAGACATTGTAGGAATTCATAATGTTAAAATACTGCAATAAGCCATAAATACATGTAACTGTTCTAACAGCTTTATCAGAAATTGTGGTCTCCACTCTGATTAGTGTCAGTGTATACCAATGAACAACATTTTGCCACACTCACACCATTAGGGAAGTAACTCTTTCATAATATGCTCTGGCTACTGACCTGTAGTGCTCATTGACTCTTGTTTCAATTAACCTGGATGCTGATCCTATATAAAACTAATCTTCATTTAATCTAGAAAGCCTACCTGACTTAGATAGCACTGTAGCTCCTTCACATTGTAGTCTTATTGCAAAAGAGCTATGGAATTGTTGGAATAAAAGCAAATTTTAAAAAATTAGTAACAGATTTGAACAGGAAAGGCTATCACTTAACAGAGGTTCATTTCAAACTCTCTTGCATTTTCATTTTCTATCTCTCTATAATGTGGAGTAGAATTAAGTTTTAATAACTATATGACAACTAAAAGTTTATAGATGTTTTTAAACTTAGTTCACTGTTAGTCTTAAGCCGAGTTGTTGATTGCCAGTAACTGAGGACAACTGATCACCCAAAAATTTTCAGTTGTAGTTTGTTAATTATCTTTGGAAAATCAGCAAAATTTTATAATGCTTGGTTTGCTTTATGGATTAATGTTGACACAAAGACAAGTAAAATAAAAATCTTAGCTAATTTTCAAATTTACTGGCAACGTTTTATTTTGATTAGTATTTGAAAATTAAGTATTGTTATTTCTTTATTCCTGACTGTCAAAAATAAATAAGTTTTTAGAAAATTTGAATAGGAGTCTTAGGTGAAAATGTTTGTTATACTTCAATATGTTGGAAACTCAAGTAAAGTATGTTTATTACCCTTAATTATGTTGGCTATGCATGAATATAAGCCAATCAATGAGTCAATGTTAGTTTTGCCACTAGTTAGTTTTGTTCAGTACTATGACTATACTAATATTATTGAATATTTGCATGGATAGCACAAAATTTTGTCATGGGATAAATGAAAATATTTTTTAAATTATTTTTTACATGTCATTTTTAAATCTCTTTCAAATAAATTGCTTTATTAGTCATTTCTAATTTTTACAGAAATTATGGAATCTCACATTGGAAATTATTCAGTAACTAACTGAATAAATTTCAGCGTTCTATAACATTGGAAGAGTGAAAAACACTAAAACTGCAACTGAAAATTTTTTGTCAGTCAGTTGTCAGTTACTAGAAGTCAGTTTTCATGATGGTCAGTTAGTCTGTGGTGGTCACTTAACTGGTGATAAATCTGTGGCAGTCAATTGTCCTGATTTAGCTGTTAGAATCGTAAAATGTTACCATAGCTGACACTAGTCTTGAAGCACTTTTAAAATTGCAGAACTGATAGCCAAAAATATGAAACTTCACAACAGATATTCTCACAAATGTCCAAGACACCAACAGGCTAGGAACACAAATTATGTCAAAGTGATTAATTTCAGCCAGGCATCAATAAAAATACACAAGAAGATTGTCTTAATCCATTGGTTTCTGAATGTATGTTCAGTGAAACATTATTTGAACATTATTACAAAATGTTTTAATTTGTAATGTTGAAATGTTGGTTGGTTAGTTTTCAAGTTATGTATGGACAGTTGTTCTATTAGAATTGTCAGAACATCAAATATCGTTGATCTGATGATGGATTGAAAATCCTGAAAAGTACTTAATCTGAATAGATATCCTGACATTTTTTTATACTCCATTTTTGTTTCTGCTCTCTTATTTTGAACTGTGTTGTATTTTTATGCATTCTTTTAATATTTATTCTATTTGTACCTGAAGATGGCCATTCAAAATGGTTAAAAACATTCATAATTAAAATGTATTGGATGGAAAATTTATTTTTGTATTATTATCTGTCATATTCATTTAAAATTATGTTAACTTCTATGACTAATTCTTAACACATTTTGATTAAAATGTACCATACATGTATTGATTTTAGTGTTGAATAAAACATTTGTTAAAATGTTTATAATAACTTCAAGTTTTGAAATACTTGCAATAAATTTTGTGATAGCATAAATTGTATCTTTGCAAGTTTAAAAATAAATAGGTTTTATTTCTAGATTAGACTGTTAGAATTATTTGTTAGACTAAACATGCATAAAAGATAGATAAACTTCGGTTTATATATTTTAAATGTTGTTTTACAACTTTGTAGTTGAGCATTTTGTTATATCATTAAAGGATAAGAAAATAGAAATTGCTTAAATCTAAAGTTTTTAAATTAAAGTAAAAAAGAAAATACCGTATCTACTTGAATAAATACATGGTCTCGATTAATCCACACATCCATTTTTGAAGTTAGTAGTGTGAAATAAAGGAAGAAAGTTGGCCAATTTAAAATGTCGCATATTTAACAAGTTTTACTAATTTATGGTTGTAACACAATTGTAACTGCTTGCTATTTTCCAGCATTCTATATGGCAGCACCTAGTTTAAAAGTCTACATTATATTATAAGATAAAAATTAAAAATACCCAGGGAAAAAATAAATTATTTGTACATCTGAAGAAGATACATTATCTGCAATTTGTAATAATGTATTTTATAATGAATTAACTTACTAATTAAATGAAAGTAAGAGTTATTTTTGTTGTTTAATTCAAATTGAAGGTATAAAACTGCTAATAGACTAATATCTTAAACAAAGAGGTAATATAGATATAAAGATTATTTATTGTTAGTCTCAGTTCTATATTTAATGTACTTTATTACTTTCCTAGCTATTATATATAACAGAGAGAAAGTATGGCAATCGGTCAAAAAATCGCCCGCCAAGATTTTTACATTTTTGGACTTAGGACACTTTGAAACATTGAGAAATGCAAAAAATTTTGGGGTTTTTTTCTGTATGTATGGATGTTTGTTTGTGTGTGTGAGGGGCACTATTTTATTCACCTTTGAAGCTTAATAACTTGTGTTTTTTTCAGAAATTTTGCAGGAAGGTTTGTTTATTAGGGGGATTGAATCTATTAAATTTTGATGATTAAAGGTCAAGGGGTTGTGAGATAATTGGGGTCATGTGTGTCTCCAGTAGGATCAGACTTAATGATGGTTTTACTTGTTATTAGCATTTAAAATTTTTTATAAAACTTCTCTACCTTTAAATTTAAGCTTTTTGCCATTTTACAATAGTTAAGAATATGATAACAGATGGTGCCAACAAATGTTGCCAGAAAAGTTAAGCAACTTGTTAGTGGATTTTTTATCTTCATTTTCACAAAATTAGTCAGACAAAAACATTTAATTCTATTGCTTCTAACTATCAACTATAGATGGTAATTATATTAAGTAAAGTCATCCAGTTAATAAGAGAAATGTATCACTAGTAAAGTAAGCAAAATGCTTAATAATTGGAAGCACCCTGGACTTGTGGTTGCATTATTAAATGTGTTGCAAATAAACTGCACACTTGACTTTATGTTAATTGTTTGGAAAAGTACACAGATTACTTGAAGCCATACAAACTACCAAATTATTGGGTTATATTAAGGCTGATTTTAATAATTAAATATAAAGTAATTTGACTAGAGGTAAGCAGTTAGGCCACCATCGCTTGATAAATTTGATGATTATTTGAATAAATATGGTAATGATAAAAACAAAATTTCATTCAAATTTTAGCCTAGTTTAAAAAATGTTTACATTTTGAAAACAAGTATTTTCTATTCTTATTGTGTGACTGTATTCATACATATGTTAAGTTCAGAGATTGAAAATGTTCAATAAGCAGAAATGATTAGAACATATTACGGCTTTACACAACCTACACAACAAGAAATTTTGTATCCTGGCTGCTTAAAAAGAGCTATATTGCATTCTGGCATTTAAAAACTGCCATAATGGAAATTTACGTCGGGTTGTTAAAAACATGTGCAAATATAAACATCTTATAAACCTGACTTAGATTAAAGTCAAATGATTGTCAGATTATATCAGGCTATATTAATGCTATTAATGATTAAATGTTAAATAATTTGGTCAAAAGGTAGGTGTTAGACACCATTTCTTGATAAATTTAATAATTACAATTAAACTAATATTCAATAATCAATTTAGAAAGTTTTGGAAGAAGTGGAACGCTAACCCAGTGTTTCTCAGCCTGTAATGAATTGTCACCCCGTTCAATAAAGCCGTTACATAGTATTGCCCTTTTCACTTCAAAAAAAGTTTTGTTGGGTTTATTAGTTTATTTGATAATTATATACTTTGTAAAAAATTAAACATTTCTTTTCTCAGAGTACATATTAGATTTTGATATAATTAACAAAATTAAAAAACATAAGTATTAACAAATATAATAAAATATAATGCTTTTTATTGAATATAAAATATTTAAGCATACAGAAAAATTATTATTAATGCAAACCTTGAGGCTGATGAAGTTGAGCCAATTTGTTTATCTTTGGTTTGAAATTTGTCAAAAGTAATTGCAAATCACCTTTTTTGTGTTAATTGTAACTGATTTCTTTGTTTGGACAATAACTGTACAATAGCACTAAATCCTTTTTATACAAGATAAGAAGTTGGAAATGCCATAATTAATAACTTGATCTCATTCCAAAGCATTTTATATCTGTGCCT